ATTTTAAATATTTTTAATTTTGTTTTTATTTAACGTTTTTTTCGGCAATAAATACATTTATTAAATTAAAAGCGAGTTTTGCGGAAAATTTGATATGTTTTAAAATAACCTTTTACACCAGTAAAAAGTTTTAAAACAAAAGTGTAACTAATTTTTAATGTTATTTTATCTCTTAAAATATGGAAAATATTTTTAAAACAAAATTCTAAATAATTTAGTTATAAAACTGGAAAACAATTTTTTTATTGGATTTAAAAAATTTACTCATATTTACAAAAAGTTGCCTACAAAAAATTTTCCATCTAGTTCCACTCTAATTTTTGTATTAACAGCTCACTAATAGTATAAAAAATTAACATGCAATTTTAGCTTTTTTTATTTTAGCTGCACTTTTTTGCACTTTATTGAATAATGTTTAAAGGTGTGTGATGTATCTAAAGGTAAATATGGCTAAATTGGTATTTATTTTAAATCAATATCAGGTATGTACTAATTAAAGACTTCTAGATTTTGTTATTGTGTTTGTCGGGGAGTTATTATTTCTTTGGAATTAACTAGTTCATTAAAACTATTTGTTTCTATATACAAATATTACATTTCTTATCCTAATAAATATAAATCTTGAGCTAGAAATGTAAAATAAACAGAAGTAAAAACAACAAAATCGTTCGCTATATATAATTCTTTATGTAGAGGACATAGCTTCTGTTATGTATGTGATCCGATGGCAATCAATAATAATTATAACTATTTTATAATACTGTATTTGAAGATCTATATTAACCGTTTATGTAATTACATAAATGGTTAATATAGATCTTCAAAAAACACTTTACTTTAATGTAGATCTTGCAAAAAATACTTTACGTAAAGTGTTTTTTGCATTGTGGTTTTGTCTTGTGATTTATAGTCAAAATGAAGACTACGTAGTGCGGTTGCGGAAAAGTGAAAGTTGGAAGTAACCGAATTATAACAATAACTTAGACAGCAGAGAAAAAAATATTTGACATTAAATCAGATCAACATTTGCACAAGATCTGTTACAATGAACATTTTACAATTTTGACGGAAAGATTATTTATGCCTTAACTAACAATGCCCCTACTTAATCCAGATTGAGGACAGTCCTAAAGGTAAATTGGTCGGATTTCAAACTAGAGAGTGTGAAATTCAAATTGTTCTGCAATAAAACTGCAAATCTAAATAATTATTCCTGGTATATAACTACTTCAACTAAAGACAAGCTCTTTGAACATGGAACTCAGATTTCAGAAACATTTGAACTGTCGATCGGATTTTTTTAAAAAGATTTTCAAGAAGCCTTTTACAAAGAAATCCACAAAGCTAGATTAGATCACAACGCATAACTTTCTCGAGTTAATCTTATTTAAAACCAGTTCAACCACCTTCTAATTAGGTCGGCCTTATTACTTCTACGAGCTTCAAAAAGTACAACTCGGAAAATGATGAATATCTAAAGGCTGATGTTCTTGCACTGCTTGTTTCAAACTAACTGATAAATGTATATTTTTGTCTGTAAACTAATGTCTTGTTTTTTTTTTGAAAATAATTATGCGTTCACAAAATTTTTGGTGAATTAAGAATAGCTTCTCTAATAATATTAGAGAAGCACTTCACTAAACACGTTGTGTTATTATTATTAATATCGATTATTATTAATTCCATTTTTTCTTAAACTCTCTCATCATTGATTTGGTATTTTTCAACCTCTAATCCGTTTAATTTATATTTGGTTACTTGGATAATTAAGATCTACTTAAATTTAGCTTACTAATGTTATAAAAATGTTAATCAAGTAAATATTATTTTAAATTATAATTGTTCCTCCTCGTTAGTCGTATTTTAATTTAATTTAATTATTACAGTAATCAATACAACTTCTTGATTGAATTGATGAAGGGAAGCACATCAGGCTTTCCTATGCTGACAATGGATATTGTTGCAGCCGAAGCAGTATTTTAAACGTGTTTTTTTAAAAAGTGCACAGTGGGTGCATCAACTACATTTTGAACTAATTTGTTCCATTGGTTAGAACTCGGTTTGTAAAGAAGAGCTGACGTTCTGAATTTCTTTTGATCAGTTGTGGTTTTAAGCATCGGTTTTAAAACAATTAAAAATTTCTTCTCAGATTTTTATTTAGTCGTATTTTAATCTTCTTTTTTTTTTAAAAAAAAAATGGTGTATGATCAAAGCAAGACATTTTTGATTTTTTTTTTTTTTTTTTAGAATCGGAATCTTTATTAAATTCTTTGCAAAATCCAACTCTTTTTGTTTTAAAAACAGGTAAAACCGTCAAATATCTCTGTCTAAAGTATAAAAAAAATGCCTAATTTTTCTAAAAAAATCGTTCACAAAAACGCAATTTATGTGACTATTTTTATGAATTTTTTTAACCAAATTAAAAATTTGACTTAATAAATCACTATTTATTTTTTTAAAAAAATTACAAAGAAAATATTTTTTTTAGTTATAGTTTTTCCTCTATAAATAGTCATATTTGTACAAAACGGTGCTTAGTCACAAGTTTATTTGTCTTCTTTGTATTACAGAAATATTTTTTATTTCTTTATTGTATAAATATCTTAATTTTTACTTATTAAACAGTGAGAAAAAACCCTCGTTTTTTTCAATATTCTAAGAGTTTCCTATGCAATAAACATATACTTTTGTTTTAAAATGTTAAAGGGCAGCCGTGGCACAGTGGTTGCGCACCTGCCTCAGTAAAAAGGATCCGTGGTTCAAACCCCACATATGGGCTTAATTTGCGGTTAGGAAGGAGGCGCAAACGTTCGCATCCGCGGTGGTTATGATAAGACCGCACCCAGCTAGCAAACTTACGTTGGGCCAAAATATGTAAAACCATTGCAAACGTCGGCTGTTTTTTTCAATGCAAAACCAACGTTGATCCAATGTCAATTGTTTAATGATAAAATAAATATTGACGGAACTTAAAACAGCTGGCACATTTACATTGGTCCAACGTATTTAAAAACATCGCAAAAAGTTGATTGTTTTTACGATGTAAACCCAACGTTGTTCCAATTTTATAAACCCGAAATTTTAAATTCCAACATATTCCAACATATTATATATATATATATATATATATATATATATATATATATATATATATATATATATATATATATATATATATATATATATATATATATATATATATATATATATATATATATACATATTTATCTTAAATATGTGTATATGTAAATATGTATATGTATATAAAACTTAAATTTTAAGTTAGGTAAATTCAGCGAGGAAGCGTTACAACCAAATAAAGTTTCGCTTTTTCCACACATTAATAGAGCTAATTACAAAGTTTTTATCAAAAAACGATCGCATGTAGCAGTGAATAACTCACCAAGTCGATTTGGGAATGGTTGGTTTAATGATCAAGGTTTAATTAACATTTATTGGTTAGATTTGCCTGCTGCACCAGATTCGGTGCTTGATTTTGTTCACTATTATTGCCGTGGTTGTTCCACTAGAAGATGTTCTTGTAATAAGCTTGTGTAGTTTGCCTAGATCTTTACAAATGTAAATCATGGTGATAACCATCAAGAAGTAGATGATGACAATCAATCAGATGAATCATATGAGTCTGATAATGATAGCCACTTAGATTAGATTAGTAAATTGTAATAAAAACCATTTGTTATTTAATATTTTTTGATTTTGAACTGTATGATAAACATCAGCGACAGTAGTATATATAAGAAATTTGGTTAATAATAATATTTCTATTTTAATTACAGCCCAGTGGGCACCAAACCTAAAAAAGACGTCTTTTGAACGTTCAAAAGACGTCCAAAACGTTCAAAAGACGTCTAAAACGTGTATAAGACGTTTATAAGACGTCTTTATTTACGTCTGTGCCCATTGGGAATCCTCTTTTAAAACATTGCATAAAAATGGCAAAAGGCAAGTCTCCTAAAAAAGCAGATTAAAAATACAAAGATCTAGAACCTAGGTTACCTATATCAAAAAATATTTAAATTTGAAGGTAACTTTGGTAGTTAACTAAGGATATACAAACTAAGTTTGAAATCAAAATTGTTAATTATTTGGGCGTAATTAAGAAAAAAAAATTTAATTTTTTTAATAGAAACCGTCCCAGATAAATCTAAAGTGTGGTTTCTATATACAACAAAACTTTGACCTCAATTATCCGGTTATTGGGACCATGAAAATGTGGGAACTTTTTTTTTTGTGAATAGTTTGTTTAGATCTTTAAGAAACCTTTCTCGAAATTTAGTTACTAAATGTGTATAACGAACGTCTATTTTTTGAAAGCTTTTTCTGCAACAGACGCCGGCCTATAAAGAGTCATATCAAGTGAACTCTTCAAGCCTATGCCGGTTTGACTAACAGCACTATTTAACTTCTAGCATCGTGTGCAATTCCTGTCTGCTTCTCTATGCCATCTTTATTTTTAATGGATTGACTTTAAATGGATTGATCTTCCCAAACTCACCTTACATTTGGTCCGTAGAGCAGGTGACGACGCTCCTTAAGGAGCTTAACTTGTCTTTACGGGTCTTGGTAATGTGGCCTCCACAAGGCAATTAGCTGGTGGAGGATAAACCACAATTCCATAATTCATTATCAAAATGGCGGAAAAATGTATGTATACATACATATATACAACTATATATGCGAAAAAATTTATAAAATTTTATGTTTATATGTATATGCTTATCATAAAACAAATTAATTCAATTTCCGATAAAGTTGTGCAAACGTAAAATATAACGATGAATCAACTTAAAATACAACGTTTTGTCAACGTAAAATACAACGTTGTGTCAACGTTGTTTTTTGATTGTTGACGACGTCGCATTTGTAACTAAAATGATATAAAAAACTAATAAAAAAAAGACAAAATTATATTTAAAAATAAATTTCTAGAACTGTTATAAATATATTATTTTAAATACTATGAACAATAAATTATTATTATAAATAAATAATTTTATAACAGTATGTAAGTATCTAATTTTTTTTTTAAATCAAAAAACACCATCGGTGAAAAGTGCGTGACATACGTTAATGAATTCTGGATTTAATACGTTTGATATCGTCAACCGACATTTTGGAGGGAGTTTTAAAAATTTTTTCTGTATCCTAACAACCTCAGAAATTGCTTCACCTTCAGTAAATCTTTTATTCAAAGAATGATTCATAGGTTTTTTGATAGCTTCAGCTCTTTTATTTGAACACACTTTATGGAATCCTCTAGAAATCTTGGTCAATTTTTCTTTTAAAGAATAAATTAGGTGTTTAGCAACTTGGAGTATGTTTTTGTTAACTTTTTTCCGCTATGACTGAAAATCTTTATTCCAATTTTGGTATGGTCGGATACTAAAAAAAAAAACAGTTTATCAAAAAACATTTTTACAACAAATCTTCCAAATATATTACACATACATAAGTTTACATAAGCATGAAATGCTTAAAGGTTAACTAAAAAAATGTTGAGTTAAAACAAAACCCGTAGAGTTAGTGTTAAAACAAGTTTGTTTTTTTTAGAATTATGGTTATAATGTTACATAATTTCTTAGTTTTCAAAAAAGTTTTTAACACTTAGAATTTGTTCTATGAAATTTAAAATTTATTGATAATATTAATTTAGTGAGAATAGTAAAAGATTTTATCAACTTGTTGCTCCCATGTTTAAAGCAGGGGATAATAATTATAGGGATATTTTTTTTCCAGGTTACAATCATTGTAATTTTTTACGAAGCATCATTATTTGACATAAATATAAACATATAAATGTTTGGAGCTTGCTCCGTGTCTGAAAGTTAGTTCTCAAAAACCAAAAATGCTGGATCCGCCCCTGCATACATTTGTGCGTAGATGAATAGAAAACATCAAAGAGTAAAAACTTACAACAGTATCCACATAATGCCGGGCAATTTATTTTCATAAACCTCTGTGCGTTTTTGAACGAAGAATTGCAATCTTGTATAAATTTTACGCATAATTCGGGGAAACGGTCTTTGCAAACTAACAATAAACAAACAAAATTTAAATTAATGCGCTGCCGTTTCTGCTAATATATTTTAATCTACTAATTTTTTATTTAGGTTGTTTGTTTATGATTAAATCTTAAAACAACTAGGTAAACTATTTTAGTTTACAAAGATGGTAGTCTCTTTTCAAACCTCTATTTTGACGTTGAGTATCCTTGACGTCCGAAAACCGGGATTTTAGGGAATAGACAAATTTGGATATATGAGGATAGGCGCTTCGCAGTGTATGCACACTACTATCTAGCCATAGACAGTAAGTGTGCATACATTGAATGAGGTTTTGGTTTTAGGCAGGTTGTCTTGAACTAATTGAATTACTATTTTCATATTTGCGGACTTAAAGGATACCGTCGGAATAGAGGTTTGATAAGAGAGCTTATCTACAAAAATACATAGATATTTAGGAGTGGTTACGTTAGGTACATATATATGTTCACACTTATTAGTTGAATATTTAATTTATTACCATTACACTCTTTGTTGCTGCTTGACAAAGATTTTGCGGTTTTATCCCAACACTGCCCATCAAACGATATGTGCTGTGGAGAAAGAGCTTCTAAATTTATTTTAACAAATTACAATATATATTAATTGCAATCGATGGTGCTATCACCCAACCATTTATAAAAATTAAAAGTGTAAATAAATTTATAGAAAAAATCTCTGTTAATTTTAATTTTTTATGTCTGTGTATAATAAAGTATATACTATTTCAACAACAAAAAAAGTACATATATTCTGGAAAAAAAGTCAGACGAATAAAAGATCACATCTATTAAAACAAATATAAATAAACAAACTCTATTTAATAAACCAGTAAATAAAAAAAATAAAAAAATTGAATATTTTTAATGAGTTAATGTAAAGATGGTTGTAATTATTTTTAAGCTTTTTCTAGATCTGATAGTTAACTATAAACAAATAGTTTTTCCCTTTTCTGGTGTAAAAAAGTCATAAAAAAGTTTTGCTAAAATACCATTGAAATTAACTTATAAAAATTAGAATGTTCATAAATTAAAAAAAAAAACTTTGGGTATTGGAATATTGATTTTAGAAAAACCCAAATTAAATTCCAGGCGTAGAATCAAAGTATTAGTAAAAAGCTGAAGCATAAACAATGCTTGAAGAGGCTAAAAGAAAACGGTTCCTAAAATTAAAATATTTTATTACTTATCCTAATTTTGCAAAACTAAACGTGCTGGATGTTTATAAAAAATCAAATAGTATGAGTTTTAAAATAATATTTTAGAGATGTTGACAAATCTAATATAACAAACTTTTTTTTTTTTTAATCTATAGCGGTTTTAAATAAAAAACATGTAATTTAAGAAAGATGCAGGATAAACTAAATATGAATCCACAGGTACTGGTTCAACTTCAAATAAAGCATCATGACAAGCAACCACAGTTCGAGAGTAAATGATTTAGAAAATCCAAGATATAAAGTGTGAAAAGTATGAAATGAACAGCCAATGATATTATAAAGGAGCGAAATTCGAAGATAGCTAACATTACGTCAAAAATTCACGCAGAGCACCTCTTAGCATAATTAAAAGATGTAATAATATTAATACTTAAACCTTAAATTTAATATTATGAACAAGTGTTACAAGAATACTTTAATGTAAGTATTTTACAAGCATTGCGCTAGCCACCTATGGGCCAAAGTAATACAAACAACATGTCACCTTTAAATTTGTAAATCCAAAGCAATTGCGCTAAGTAACACAAACATGCGTGTTTAGTTCTGTTGCGTTAACTAACTTTGGTTTACTTAACAGCACTTGTTATTGCGCTAAGAAAAAAAAACAAAAATATTTTATGCTGTACAGCAATTCATATTATCAAAGATTATTATGTTCAACTACAAGATACTAGTTGATTTACGGAGGTTAAATAAAGTATTCAAGTGTTTTAACAATTATTACAAATGTCGGTTTGTAATCTTCATGTCTTTTTAAATGTCAAATAAATTGTTTAGTATCTTTTAAATGTTTTAAGGCTCAAAAATAAAAATTCCTCAAAATAAAATTTTTATTTATACAAAACAACCTTTGTTTATAAACAACTAAATAGCTTTATATGCATGTATTTAAATAAGTAGCTTTATATGTATGTATTTGATATTTTTAAGTTGGATAACTTTTTTTTTCTTTACTGTTTTGGTACTTTATGACTTTAAAACTTATCTCAAATAAAGTAATGCTGTATAAATAAATTTTCATTTGGTGCTGCACCAAACAACTTACTTTTTTCTGGACACAGTTTGCAAGTGCGGGAACAGTAAGTTTTCATTGTATTTTTATCATTTTCACATAACCCCATATTTTTCCATGTATCGCAAAATCCAGATTTTTTTTCTTGTTCGCTATCTTTACATGGCTCTAAAATAATATAATTTCACTTAAATACAATGTTGTCAAAAAAAAAAAACAAAAAAAAAAAGGATTTTTTTTGGTTCATTAAAATTATTTATATCACCTAGTTGGTACAAGACTTAAAAAAGATGGCTTTTAAAAATCTTTTGAACAAGTTTTTAAGCGTCTTTTAAACGTCTTTTAAATGTCCAAAATGTTTACAAGATGTTCTTTTTTAGGTCCCATGCCCACAGGGTAGCTCCATTATTATACCAAAGACCTTGGTGGGTTTTTACTAATTAGGTCCGCATTGCATTAATATACTTTGCTCACTTCAATTTTGAAAAGTCAAAATTAATTCTGACAGCTTTTTAGACAAAGAAGGACAAGTAAATGAAGGTTGAAAAAAATGAAAAAGCACTTTTTGTTTTTTCAATAGCACTTTTTGACAGCCAAAACTTAAACTCTCAACTAATGTGCTATGTACTGAAGCACCGCAGGCGGTATACTGAAGCATAAGGCTTTTTAATATAAGGTCATTTTTACTTATTATGTGTGTTATAACATGAGTATGATTTTCTAATAAAATAAACTGTTACTGAAAAAAGCTGCATTTTAATAATCCTATTGCTTGCTTTTCTATACGTGCAGAACTTTGTATACGTGCAGAATTTTCTCTATGTGCAGAAAATTCTGCTCATAGAAAAAGAAACATTTGATTAGAAAACAATAAATCAATTAATGCAACTTTAAATTATGTCACGTGTCTTTAGGCTTATTTTGTTTCTTTTGTTCATTTTAGCATCTTTCTAAAAGGAACAATACAATTAGTAAAAAAATATTTTTTATAAATATTATTAAATTTTGTACTGCCATCAGCAAAAACGTATTGTTTACCACCTCAAATAACACTGCTTTATATTATACAACCACAAGTAAAATTGTTATTTTATCTTGATTACTACTGTCACTATTATTCCAAATAAAATAACATTGATAAAGCTACACAAATAACTCTCGATTCTTGATGCAATGCAGTAACACAATGCTTTAAAACTTCACAAATTACTATCGTTTCTTAATGTAGTTATTGAGACTTGACATTCACTATCCAAAGGATAGCGAACTATAGGTTGTGATTACAATTTCAATTATTTCATTTGGTGAGAAAAACATGGGTCTTTAAGCATGTTTAAAAACGAAAATATGTATAACTCTATTCATTTAGTGATGGCGAAGATTATTTTGTGTGTGTGTGTTTTCTTTTTTTAGTTATTAAGGTGCTTTAAAACGACCTAACGGTCTGATCACAAAGCATCGCAAAAGAGCTTTTAACCAGCCTTCTTCCGTACGAATGTTGCTATCTATCCAGAATCAGCATCGAACTTAAGAACTCTCTATTCTGAACCAGAACTCTAACCACTGCCCTTTGGCTGCTAAAATAACCATTTTTCTAATTATTGTAAATATGCTTTGTTTTGAAATCTTGAAATATATATTTTTAAAATACAAATGCATCACCATACTCATAACTTGAACTATCAAAATTAGTATACTTTTTTTTCTATGTGTGTTTTATTTCTTAACTACCATAAACCAAAGTTTTTAAAAAAACAATTTATAATTTTATTTTTGGTTTTAAAAACACCAAAAAATTAGTTTTTGAGAAACTTTTTTAATATTAAAATTTTCTCTTTTTTTTAGGCGAAATTTTTTTAATTTGATTTTTTAAATGCAACACATTTATGCTCCTCGCAGCCTGGAAACTAAGAAGGATGGTTATTTATTTTAAAAACTACGCTGTTGTAAAACTTCAACGTTTATTATTTTGGAATCCATAAAAATATAAAAAAAACAACCAATAATGTTAAAAATAAAATTCTCTCATCCATAATGAGAGAGAGAGAGAATAACAATGTGCAAGCAATCCTAATTAGTTTTCCTTTATACTTAAATTTTTATCTTAAAATTTTGTAAAACCTGTTTCCATTGGTGATCATCATTACAAATCATCATCAATAGTTCATCAATCTAAACAATGTATAACTATAATAAACACTCGGAATAAAAAAAAAATGCAAGCATACCATCTGCAGGACAAGTTCCATAAAATGCTACAGTGGCATTATGTTCATCTTGACAATTGCTGTATAAAAGATCACAGTAATCTTTATAAGTTATCCCATTTGTTGCGCATACAACTCCTAATTTCTTGTATTCATTTTTATACAAACAAAATGTTGGACATTCACATTTAGCTTCGTTTGTTGTTTTGTCAACTACACACACTTTGTTTTTCGGACATTTTAAAATATCGCACTTGCTTTTTGCATCTTAAATAAATGTAAAAAAAAAAATGGTAATATGTATATGTAAAAATGCGAAAGATCTATTAGGGAGAGTAGAGTATTGGTGAACAGCTAAGCAGGAATGCAAATCGAAGGCAACAGTTATACAAAATTGATCATATTTATTGCATGTAAATTAGTCTAACTATTCAGTCACAAACCTTCAAAAGCAATTTGTATAAATCTTATTATAAAATAAAAATTTAGGGCAAAAATAAAACCATTGGTATTCGCAATTACCTTACGTACACGGGGTAGTTCTGAATAAACCTTGGTTAATCACAAACACTGTTGTGTAATAACGAATAAAAGGCTAATTGTCATAATTCAGTGCAAAAATTATATTATACAAAGACAACAACAAATGGAATGGTTTTGTATACACAGAAGCAATAACAAAAATGTTACTCAAGAAAAAAGTTGCATGAAATTATTAGAAAAAGTTAGAAACAAGAATCGTAGAACGATTCCCTCTTACTATGTAAAAAGGAATTGTCAAATATATTTTTAGATTATGCTGTTTTAACCATGTTCGGATTTACTCTGCGTTTAATATTATTCCACTCTCCCCTATATAAGCAAATATGTGATATATAAATAAATACATTTAAAAATTGATTTAATAAACTCACCACATAGAGAACAAGTTTTTGAACACCTCTCAATCATCAGCGCCTCATGAGTAAAACAAGCGCCTTGATTTTTTAAATAATTGCAGTCGATTGGTCCATCTTTATCTGAGCATGTGTTTTCTTTAACTTTTAATGAATCTATATATTTATATATATATATATATATATATATATATATATATATATATATATATATATATATATATATATATATATATATATATATATATATATAATAATATAAGTAACGGCCCTATAAATATTGGTAGTTGTTACCTAAATTTCACAAAAACGTAAAATAAACTATATAAATTCAAAAAAATCTTTGCGCAAATCCATTTTAAAGTATCGTCAAAAATTTGAAAATTTGCTTAAATAACTCATAATGTTTAACTATTATATATCGTATATATTTAAATATAAACTGCATTTTAAATGTATAAGATATCAGGGAATATTTTATTTAGATAAATTGATTGTTCTTCCAATATTTTAAATCCAAGAAATTGTGGATTTTTGAAAATTATTAAAAACAAACAAGATATTATAAAGATATCATTTACTTTTAGAAGTTTCTTAGATCAAGTGATGTTATTAAAGTTATCTAAGTTGACGTTTGTCAATTATGGAATACCATGTTTTACGGAGAAATCTGTCCAAAGAAAAATAAAGTCTGCTATTCAAAATTATAAATTTGTTATTAAATCAACACAAAATAAAAATATGAAGACAAGTATTATAAATAACTGGGATAAATTATTTGACTTATTGCCCAAAAATGTTAAATTTAAAATCTGGAAGGCAAACTCTTTTACGAAAATCTTCAGAAATCTTCCAATGGGGGTAGTACATCCGCATGACCTGCTACCTAAAAGAAAAGAACTTGAAACAAATTATAGTCAACTGTTTGATGATAGAGACAATTATAGTGGTAAAAGTTCAGAAGATAATAATATTAGTGATGATTACACAATCCAATTGAAGCATGCAAAGATCATTGGTAAAATGGTAGCTAAGATATCTGAAAATAAATGGTATCCAATTAGTTGTACGGCAAAGATTGCAGATGCTGTACTCAATAAAGTTGTTGAGACATTGATTTGCAGATCCGCAGTCCAAAAATCTACAACCTCGGTGCATGAATTAAACTTGATTCAGTCTCATATCAACTGTTCTGAAAAAATGTAGTGCTTTCATTTTGATGGTAAGAGCATAGACAAACAACATTATTATAGCACTTGCATTTCGAGCAGGTCTGAATTTTTGCTTGCATCTTTAAAAAAACTAGAGAAAGGTAATTCTGTTTCTATTTATAACATGTAACACAATATTACTTTAAAATTTAGATTTATTAAATGAAATTTCGGTTGTAAAATGTGACACCACTGAAGTAAAAACAGATTTTGAAAATGGAGTATAGGAATGATTGTACGGAGCTGGATCTGTTATGTAAAGGATACAAGCCTTATAGAGACACAATAAATTTACCCGCGATTCATTTTTCCAAACCAGGGCCTATTTCAAATGCACAAAGGAATTCAAGAGCTATCTATTGCTTGAAATATCTGCGTCTGACTGACTGCGTCTGAAAGGTGTGTATTTTCTTATTGTAGATCACTGGGTCGAGCCGTGGTTCTCTTTCAGAAGAAATGTTGACAATGTAACGAAGTGAATATTGGTATTAACTGGTAATTACCTTGAGTGTTTGTAAAGACACTGTGGTATTTGGAATGATTGTCCATTATACATTAATTACACAAAAGAAGTGTGCGAAAGGTTGCTTGCGAAAGTTAAATTATTTCTTCAAAGAAACATCATTAACTTCAAAGTTTCGGAGACACTGTAATAAACTTTGATCTGCCTATAGGTGTTATTGTAATAAAATAATTTAGTGTATGAACTATATTTACTTCTATGACGCAATTTTCAAAGGCTAATAACTAAAAATTTAGAACTCAACAATCCGGGAAAACTGCCGGTTACTCTCTATTCCGACGGTTTTCCTGTGTATCTGAAATATAAAGACTTGTATCTAAAAAAAATCACCGGTACCGGGACTGAGCCGGACAACATGTTTTATTTTTTTAATATTAAGTTTGCATTTACCTTTTATATAGAAAATTAAAAATCCTTTTATCTTCGTGTATATACAAATTTAAAAAAAAAACTTATGATTAAAAACTTTGTGGTCATTTTGGGTAAAAAACTGCGTTCAGATACTAATAATAAGTAAAAATTAGCTTATCAAATAAAAATTAGCTTATTGTTTTTTATTTTAATTAAATGCAAATAAGCTTTTAATAACTTGTTTAAAATTCATAAGTAAAGATTTAGCAGCACGTGTATCGCGTATCGTGTTAATAGCTGACTATACTTGTAAAAATTAAATTAGTCAATACACAGCAGTGAGTAATGACAACTGATCTGGTGCAAGTTTATACATTCATTCATTTTATTTTCAATACAATATGAATGAATATATTCATTCGGTATTCATTCATATTTTTAGCTTAATCTTTTTTACTTATTTAATATGTTAAAATCATAATAGCAAATATTATGTCGTGTTAAAAAATAAAAATACATAATATAAATTGAACCTTTAATAATAAGTAAATAAGTTCTTATGTTGTTTTTGTTAACTCCTGATAATCTATTAATCCCATACTATTTAAAATTTTTTTTTAATATTTTTAATTTTTAAATTATTCGATGAGCTTCTAATAAGAAGTTAAAATTTTTATAGGTTTTTTCGTAAAACTCATATTTTAGTGTTAAAAAGATGTTTTTATATAAATTACCACATAAATTACAGGTCCGTGGACACAGCTCGAGTAGTTTTTCAGCTCGTTGCACGCAATACCCTATACTTTTATAAAACTTGCAGTCTTTCCATTCTAAAACGTCATTACAACCATCTAAAATACAAAAAAAAAAAGTTTAACTTTAAAAAATTAATTTCACTTTAGTTTTATTCCTATAAAACTTTGTACTTTATTCTGTTGAATTAAATTTTGATTTTTATTGTTAAGAGTTAATACATTTATTTATTATCATAAATACATTTTTTTTGTATGATATATTTATTTCATATTTTGATGTTTATTACATTTTAAAAAATTATGTATAACTTTCCCAATTTTAGATATTAAATTACAGACATATAATTGTATTTATGTACTTACATAACTTTATATGTAATTAATTTAAATCAATTATCTAAAAAAAATTTCCAACAGCTTACTATATTTATTTTGATCTTTATTATTAGCGAACACCCCATCTAGTAAAATTATATTAAATAGTAGAAGATATATATAAGGATTCATTTTTAAAGTATGCTAACTCAGTTGTGAGATTTAGACTATAATTGAAAGGTGTTTAAGAACATTTTATAGAAAAAACACAGTTCATTGTTTACTTTCAAAGCTTGATGATTGCTTGTAATATGACAACTTTTACCAAATTACTCAATTTGTTTTTTAGGATATTAGATAATATTGTCGGTAAAAAAAAATCTTCCCTTAAAAAGCTAATCTGGAAAAATACTCTTGTCTGAGAACCTTGAATTATCTTTCATATTTGTTTTAAATGTCGTAAAGTTAAAACTAGTTACAAAAAAGACGTTGATTTGAAACAAAAAGATAACTTCATCAAATGACGTAAACTAAGCGACGTAATAATCGAGTTTCATTTTCAGTTTATAATCACATCATTGCGCGAAAACTAAATGAATGAAATTAATAAAATAGTTTTCAATTATTTAATATTAAATGGTAACATATAACTATGCAACAGTTAAACTTTTTTTTAAGTTTATCTTTTTTAAATTATTATTATTTAAAATTAAAAATAATTAATATAAATTAATACTAAAATTAACTACAAAATGCTATCAAATGTTTATAGAACATTTAAATAAGGGTTAATAAGAGTTGATTGCTTTAAAAAAAGGTTTTTAGATTACTTTGATCGAAATCTGAAAACCGTTTTTTTAAAGTAATCAACTCTTAATTTAAATGTTGATTACCTTATTAAAGTAATCAACTCCTTAATTTAAATGTTTTGAAAACCTAAAATATTTAGTTTGCAAAATTTTTTAGCGGCTTTAAAACAATGAAGCTACTGTATGGGGTGCAGTACATTCCTGTCAAGTAACAGAGCAACTAAAAATTTCTAATCCAATAAAGTTTTCTTAAGTTACAAAACGATTTTTCTTTTTTTCTTTGAGTCTTTGTTTGACAATTACAGTTTAAAACAATTTTTACAACGAATTCGCTTTACTGCCTCAAATAAATAAAATAACTAATGAAATACATTTTAAAAATTAATAAATTAAATGTTCAAAGTTCTAAATTAAATATTCAAAAGAGATTATAAATTAGATAAAGTAATTATATTACTAATGTCAGTTAACATTTGTTAACGGAAAATGATAACTTATATTCAAATAAAATTAATTAATTACTGTCGTTGAACTTTTTCACTCTCATATCACGTTAACAAAGAACAACATTTATAAACGTTACAAAAATAAACTGAAAATCGATGATCTCAAAGTTGTATATATAAACTTAAAAAAAACTTTTTCAACTATTATGGATAGTTTTTAAAGAACTTATAATAAAAATTTTTAGAATATGTTTTTAAATAACTTGAATATTTAGAAGTCTAAATTGTACGATCGCGACCTTAACTATTATCGTGTATATATATTCTCCTTTTAGCCTCCTCAATACTTTTTTAAGCCAAAAAGAAATATTAATTTTTTTTACTTCTTATATAATTAAGCTTAACATGTTTTATTATTATTTATTTAACTAAGTATGTTAAAGTATTTTAGATATACTAAAGTTTTTTTCTACAGCTATATAAATAAAAGTAACGCAAAAAATATCTAAGTAGTTTAAACTAAGAAAATCCGTATCAATGTAAGTAGGGGTGTTATTTAAGACTTTAGACCATTAAAAATAGCGCTTTTTTATGCTTTTAATGATCGAGTATCTTAAATACTTTATATCTACTAATTATATTTACTATTATAAAATATTATCTTAAATAGTATTGATATTCTCTATGACGTATATATATATATATATATATATATATATATATATATATATATATATATATATATATATATATATATATATATATATATATATATATATATATATATATATATATATATATATATATATATATATGTATATATATACATATGATATATATATATATATATATATATATATATATATATATATATATATATATATATATATATATATATATGTATATATATATATATATATATATATATATACATATATATATATATATATATATATATATATATATATATATATATATATATATATATATATATATATATATATATATATATATATATATATATGTATATATATATATATATATATATATATATATATATATATATATATATATATTTTTTTTTTTTTTTATGCTTTTAATGATCGAGTATCTTAAATACTTTATATCTACTAATTATATTTACTATTATAAAATATTATCTTAAATAGTATTGATATTCTCTATGACGTATATATATATATATATATATATATATATATATATATATATATATATATATATATATATATATATATATATATATATATATATATATATATATATATATATATATATATATATATATATATATATATATATATATATTTATATATATATATATATATATATATATATATATATACATATATATATATATATGTATATATATATATATATATATATATATATATATATATATATACATATATATGTATATATATATATATATATATATATATATATATATATATATATATATGTATATATATACATATGATATATATATATATATATATATATATATATATATATATATATATATGTATATATATATATATATATATATATATACATATATGTATATATATATATATATATACATATATATATATATATATATATATATATATATATATATATATATATATATATATATATATATATATATATATATATATATATATATATATATATATATAATATATATATATACATATATGTATATATATATATATATATATATATATATATATATATATATGTATATATATATATATGTATATATATATATATATATATATATATATATATATATATATATATATATATATATATATATACATATATATGTATACATACATACATGCATATATACATACATACATACATACATACATACATACATACATACATACATACATACATACATACATACATATTAAATTAATAACAACTAGATAAAATAAAATCTTTAAATTAAAGATTTTTTTCTCAAATATTTTGGTTATTAGTCAGATCTGTTGATAACTTGTGTCATTAATGACTTAAAAAATAAAGTATTTTTGCAAAACAAACATTCTGATAAAAATGAGTCATGACAACAGAGTCATGACAACAGTTTTTAAAGTAATTAAGCAACACAAACGTATCCTTTCATTTTTTCCTTAATTTTGTATTATTTTTTTTTTAATTATTTGTAATATACAAAGGTAAAAAAGTTTTGTGGTGTTCTGATATAATAAAGTAATATCATTTGTGAGCACTTTGATATAATAAACTATATATAATTTAAAAAAATTAAAAATTAAAAAAAAATGTAAATAAAAACTATGTAAAAAAAAAATTATAGTATGTTATTGCAATCAAGTTGAACTTTAATTTGAAATCTATCTTTATATAAATAAAGAAAAGAGACCAAAATAACTTAGATTTAAAAAGTTCAAATTAAATAACTAAAAACATTAAAATAAAATTAAAAAATGCGGGAAAAAATTGAGTTGTTAATAATATTACTTCAAATAAATTGAATTAAAATAAAAATTACCTGAAATAGAAATTTCCAACCGAAAAACTTGTTTTTTGTATGTACAAACCTATGTTATAAGTTTTTGCTTTTTTTTAATAAAAACGTTTGTATTTAATATAAATGTTAAATAAATTTAATATAAATGTTAGTAATGTAGCCAAAAGAAAAAATTACAACGGTTATTCAAAAAGAAGAATTTGCCAGGAGAATGTAAGGAAAAAATTATATCATTCGACGTTAACTTATCAACCAATCATCTGACTGGTTATTCAACCAATCATCTGACCTTTGATATCAGCTATAGGATTAATCTTACAACCTTTAATAACAAAGTGGTTAACGAACTTACAGACGAAAAATCCACTCAATCCTGCAATGAGTGCAACAATTTATGTCAAATTTTATTGAGTTTTTGCTGTTTTTGGTCACACAGTGAGTCAGGCCTGACTTTGTGTGAGACGCATTCTAAATGTAAATATATTGAAAATGAGATGGTTACAATTGGTGTAATGCAATGATTGGACTCCACTTCTTTACACGTGTTTTTTTTTGTGTGTTGTTTTTTTTTTTTTTATTACATTTTAAAACATAAAGTTAATATTTTATAAAATTTACAAGCTAAAATAAAAAATATAAACAATTGCAAGTGAAGATATATAATATATATGTATATAAAAAAGAACGCGGAAACTCGTAGAAGACCGTAAGGTCTTGTCGTCGAGTACCGCGGTAAAAAGACGTTGTTACTAGTTAAATATTTTACGTAGTAAATTTTTTTTTTTTTTTTTTTAATTTATTTGCCTTCAATAAAAGAAATTACAATTACAGAATATCTTTATTACAAATACAATCGGCAGGACTTCCAGAAGATCATACGATCTTATCATGAAGGCCTTTACAATATCAAATATAATAATAATAACAATAAAATCAAATAAAAATCAACATAAAACTATATATAACTGTGCATTTAAAACATAAATATACTGGATAAATTATATGAAATATGTGAAACAAAATAACTAAAAACAAGAAAAAATATTTTCTGCTGAAAAGATAACTTCTTTTAATTTTCGTTTGAAAGAAGTTAAAGTTCATTTCAATGACAAATCAAAATTTGGCAAAATTATTTTATTCCATAAATAAGGACCGCGATAAGAAATAATTAGTTGTTCAAATTTATTTTGGCAGAAAGGTTCTTGTAGATTTTTTCCATTGCGAAGACTGTATTTGTTTATGAGTTTTACATTATAAAGGTTTATAAATACATCAGGAGATAAATGATTTTTACATTTAAACATGAAACATAAAATATTATAAACATTTAGTTCGTATACATTTAAGGCTTTCATTTTTCTCAGAAGTGGTTTTGTATTTGAAAAACGATTTGCAAAATTAAATAAGCGAGCTGCATGTTTCTGATGCTGATAAAGAGGTTTAAGTTTAGTTTTGTGCGCGCTTCCGCATACAATATTTGCATAATTTAAATGGCAGTGGATAAACGAAAAGTATAGTGTAAATAAAAAAGTGTTATGCAATAATAAAAGAATAAACAAGATTTAAATTAAAAAAACTACAAAAAAATAAAAAAGTTCACCAAAATTTTCTTAAAGATAATTGGACAGATAGTATAATAGCAATATAGGGTTGAACATCGTAAATAATCGAGTTACAAATCATATCAAGAAAAATCATACATTACAAATCATATAAACCGATATAAATATTAGATAAAAAGAATATCAAAAGGGTTAAAAGTACATTTGTATACTATCAATTTCAAAAACTATTTCTTTCAACTTTTTTTTTTAAAAGATATGTAGTTCCATTCAAAAGAAAAATCAAAGTTATTGAAGACAATTTTGTTCCAAAGATACGGTCCACGAAATGATACGCAAAATTTACAATGATTAGTTTTGGAAAATGATTGCATCAAAAAATCTTCATTTTGTAGATCGTATTATATTATCAATGAATATAGATGGCGTTTCGTATGGTATTAGTTTTGTTTTGGAAAGTGGGTAAAATAGAGTCCAGTTAGTTTTGTTAATATTTACTGAGAGTGTATTTACTTTAAATCAGTCGGAAACCTTTTTAAGTTCTAAGTTCAAAATTTCAAATAATATAATAATGTTGCTGTGCGATAAAAATAAATTTGTGTCGTCTGCAAACATTATTGTCCTCAGGCTGGATGCTTTATGAAAATCATTAACATATATAAGAAAAAGAAGAGGTCCAAGTATAGAACATTGTGGTACGCCACAAGTAATATTTAGTAACGTTTTTGGTGATTTATCGTCAATGTGTACATATTGAGCACGATTATTTAAATACGTCTTTACACATTTTAAAACGACTCCTGTGATTCCGTATAGTTCGAGCTTTTTAATAAAAATTTAATGGTCAATAGTATCAAAAGCTTTTGATAAATCAATAAAAATTCTTAATGTATATTCAGATTTATTAAACGACTCGTTAATATTACGTGTAAACTGAAGTATTGCATGTTCTGTGTTTGCAAACTAAATTGCATAAGTAAAAACATTAACCTTCCCAATAACCATTTTTATGTGTTATTTTTCTACTTTACCAAAAATTATAAAAGATTTTATCTACACTAACTTTTTTACATAAGTGAATGTTTAAACTTTATTTTTTAACTTTATTCTATTTGATAGTGAATTTGAACTTTAAGGTAAAGTTGTGTTGCAGTGCTTTAAAAAAAAAAGTAAATTATTTACCATAAAGACTGAGGAAAAGAAAAAAAGCCATTGCATAGCATTTCTGGGTACAAAAATGTGAAACACAGTAATTTTTTTATACTATGGTGCAAGTAAAGAAGGTATTATTAATAAATTCTTTACTTGCACTATACATTAAGTAATGGGGATATTTAGTAATGGGTAAATGCCTTATGGACTACTTCACAAGAATTACATAGAAATATTTACTTGAGGACTACTTGACAAGAAAGAAATATTTACAAAGTTTTTTTTATGCTTTTTAAGTCGAGATACGAACGCAGATAAAATTGAGAAAAGTTAAAAAAGTTTGAAAGCGAGTTTAAAAAAGTTAGAAAAAGTAAAAAGAAAACGTGAGAGCTATAAATAATAAAATTTTGGGTCTTTCAAAAAGTATAAGGTTTTTTGAAGTAATGGTCTGACAGTAACATCTGAAGTAATGATTGATACTGCGGTTTATCCTCCTCCGGCTAGTTGCCATATAGAGGCCACATACCAAGGCACCCAAAGACAAGTTTGGCTCCCCAAGGAGCGTCATAACCCGCTCTACGGATCAAAAGTAAGGTGATTTTCAGAAGAACGAAAATATATTAGTGTAAAAGAAAGAAGTAGTCGATTTAGCGGACAGGATTGCACACTATGTTAGAAGTGCAATAGGTTGAAAACATGCAGTTAATTAAGTTACCTAATTAAGGTATGCGGATAAACACAGGGGCTAAAAAGTATGTTTTTTTCCTGTGCGTTTTTTTTAGTATGTGTTTTTTTCCTTCATCTGAAGTAATGATTTATCTTAATTACGATTTCTTCATTTTACAAATCAAACTTGTTGAATATGATGCTTACCTTCAAATAAAACTCATTGTGGGTATACTAAATGTCCATTCGCCTGATGGTTATTGTTAGTCTGTTAATTTAACGAAGACAGCATTACCAGTTGCCCCCAAATCACTTCTCAAATTTATTAACTGTTTTTGAAAATTTGGCTTCGTAAAAAATTGGTTTTCTTGTAAACAAAATGAACTCAAGTAAATCGATCTGTTTGATGCGGTAAAATGCGTAAAAAATTTTTTTTTGACATCTTTATAATGATGATATAACTATTTAGAATGTTAACTTATTAAACAATCAAGTTTAAAAAAAACTTCTGATTTTAACTATTTTATTTATGCTTGCGGTGCTGTATTTTTTTTACCCCTACTTAATACATGAGTACTAGACAAATAAGCCAAAGCAATTAAAATAAAAATTCATAACATAAAAAGCTTTAAGTAACTCAAAAACAACAATAAAATAATAATAAATAATATGCTTGTATAAGCATATATTGCTATATTATATAAGCATATATTGATAAATAATTATTTATTAACACGTGAACTATATTACCTATTTAGCAAATCGTGTACCTACTTATATTTATGTGTATTGTAATAAAATTAAAAAACTTTTGTCTACATTCTTTTTTTTTACTTTTTGCATTTAGCATTTTTATTTTTATTCTGCCGAAACTCATAACATTATATTTTAATTTTAAATTGAAGTATTTAAAAATATTATTAACGCTTAGCGGTTTCTTGATGACAAGACTATCGGTCTTCTGCAAGTTTCCCGCGTTATAAAATTTTTCATAACGTATTAAAAATTTACTACACATTGCTATCTTGTTTAACCCCGAAAGGCGGAAATGACACAATGATACTAGTTAAAGTCCCAAGTATATTTAATTTCAAATAATTCACATGTTTTAAGAAGAGTAACCCTATATAGGCTTTTATGTACAAATTTTATAAAAAAATTTAAATACGTTCTAAAAAGTAAGTTTTAATATGTTACAGTTTATTTTATTCATTCTTTGTATAACGTATTTTTTATTTTTTTTAATTTTTTTTTTATACTCTGTGAACGATTATATTACAAATTTGTTGAAATATTACAAATTTGTAAAGATTAAAGAACAAAAAATAAAAAATAATAAAAAAAAATCTTTTAAAAGCAAGTGTCATGCAAAAATTCATTTTTAATCAGGTTATTGCTGTATAGACACTAACATAAAAAGTCTAGGGTCAAATTTGTACATTATATAGATTAATGACATACGGTAAGTATGTCACTAATCTACAATTTAAGACCATCTGTAATTTACATCTACAATGGTAACACCATCACGATAAAGGTGAAAGAATTAACATAAAACTGAAAAATTGTGTTTTAAAAGTTTAACAAAGTGTTAAACTTTTAAAACAAATATTGTTTTTTTGCTCATCACATGTTTTTTCACTCAACAAATGTTGTTTCGCTTACCAAATTTCGTTTTCGCGCATCAAATATTGTTTCGCTCATCAAATGTTGTAAACGATTTTTATTTAAGACCTTAAAGTCTTTTGCTTTTTCAAATATACAAGTCTGTACAAACCTGTACATTATCGGAGCACTTTTTATACTTACTTTCTTAAAATTCACAAGTTGATACAAGGTTGCTGTCACATGTATACTGCATCCTGTGGTAGTTTATTCCATTCGCCTGATTTATTCCATCCCATTGCGTAATACTCAAGATTTCGGTTTATAACTGATAGTAGTGTACCTAAGCGTCTGTCCTACTTTGATAAACATAAACAAAGAAAAAATCACTTAGTGGATAGGAATTTTAGAAATAAAATTTACATAAAAATTAGAAAGGCGATATAAGAAAAAGTTATTGTAATAAAAAATAAAAAACTATTAACTAATTAGCTAATTATTTACAAAAAAATATTGTGCAAATACTTTTATAATAGTATTTTATAAAGTATTTGTAAAAGTACAATTCACTGAATTATTGTGAATTAGTGCCATGGTAGCTCAGTTGGTTAGAGCGTCAAAAGAAAAATTAAAACCCGATACGGGTTCAAATCCCGCCATCGCCAACTCAGCGCTTAAGTAGTACTTCTGTATGCAATAACGTTAGTCAATAACGGACGTTACTTTGAATTAGTCTTAATGACTATTTGTGGCTGTTCCTATGTTAAGCCAACAATATCTTCAGATATAACATTGTGTAAAAAAATATAGCAAATTCAAATAAATAAAATAAGTATATTCAGTCTGAATTTCAGACAGAAATAAATTATTATCTGTCTAAACTATTTACCTCCCCTTTGTAAATCGCTCAGTGTAAGATGGTATGAATAAAGGTATTTAATAATATACATTTTACTATTATAAACTAATCCATAGTTAGTTGATATTTCTATAATTTCTATTTAAACTATCTGATTAAGTTAGTTATCTAATTATGTAAAAATAGTTTTAAAATATCTAAATTATCACTTTCCTTCAAGTAAATCACTAAACTTTCGTCTAAGTTATCATCTTCCTCCAATTTATCATTAAGTAAAATATGTTTTGACAAAGGTATTTAGTGATGTGATAAAAAGTATACAATTGAAAACTATTAGTTATATAAAATATATCTATTAGTTATATAATACAATTATTAATTATATAATATATATCTAATATTATATAGTTGGTTTTAGTAAAATATATTATATTTAATTGAAAAAACTTTATAAATACTTTAATAAGTTTCTGAATTATAATCTCCTCCTAGTAAATCACTTAATGTAAGATGGCGTGATAATAGAACATTAAGTCAACTATTAAATAAACTATTAAATAGTATAAACACTTTTTTACTTCACTATCAAGTAAATTAGATTAGAAGTTTTTAATTTTTTTTTTATTTGTTAAAAAAGCATGTTGTTTATTTCTTTTCTAATGACGATTTTTAGACAACCCTAATGTAGCACACCCTAAGTACCTTTTAGTAAACCCTAAGTACCCTATAGTACACCCAAAGTAAAATTTTAGTCTTTTGTTTTGTGATGATCAGCAGGTGAAATAAATTTTCCGATTTTTCTTTAGATATCTTAAACTTCAGAGGATATTGATATGATGGGGTTGGAGCAATCGATGGTCACACTAAAAGTTTTTCCTCTTGTATTTTAAATCTGAATGTAAAAGCTAAATATGATCATCGCAACAGTCATAAGCTTAAACAACAAGTCAAACAAAAGTTAGAAGAGCATATTGAAAATTCAGGTGGAAAAAGTAAATGGTTTAATTTTTTAGAACTTTGTACTAGTTTATGAGCTTGATTTATGATGGCTTACTGGTTAAATTTAAAAATGGTGACTACTAGATTTTCATTAACATCAAATTAATGTGTTCTCATTTTCTTTGCTTTTGCACGTGAAAAATTATATGCAAAGCATCTTGGTACCTAAAAATTATATGCAAAGCATCTTGGTACCTGAAAAGTTATGTGCAAAGCATCTTGGTACCTGAAAAATTATATGCAAAGCATCTTGGTACCTGAAAAATTATATGCAAAGCATCTTGGTACACCTAAATGGTTTAGCTTTAATTTATATTTGTACAAAGTTGGTTATAGATATAAAAAAAACTCACCGATAAATTTGATACTTGTAATCGTAATTATATTGTTTTAACTTTTAAACAAAATTAAAATATATATAATAAAAAGTAATAATAATGATAATTTTAAATTTGATATAAAGTAAAAATCATAGTAAAAAAGTCATTTTTTGTCACTAGTAAAAAAAATTATTTTTGTAGCTTTTGCATCCTTATAAAACATTATTTGATCAGAGTACATTGTATTTTTAAGTTAGGTCAGGATATGTCATTGTTTGTGTCACCAACAACACTAACTTACTGTTATCATTCATTATATTAAAATGGTGTGTTCTTATTATTCTATTGGTAAATGCTTTTATTTTTTTCAAATTTTTTGTATTTATCAGCAAGGTTTAATAAAATAGAGATTTTAAACTTTTTCCTAACAAAAAGTGGCGATAAGATTGCATCTCTGAATATTTCTTCATTTAATTTATTATTGCATATTATTTTATAATATAAAAATATTTGTTATGATTTGTGTCATTTTTTAATATATTTGTTACAATATAATTATAAATCTTTATAGTTTGTAAGTTTAATTTAATAATGGTAATAAGTAAATATAATTTTTAATTATAATTTTGTAAATTATGTGTAAATACGTAATTCTGTAGTTGTAAAGTGCCCCTGTGATCTCATTGCATATTTTAAGGCAAACAAAGGCTCTAAAAAGATTAACTTAAACAAAGTAAGATCATCATAAAAAATGTGTTAATCTTACTTTATTTAGTATAGTCATTAGTCTAACAAATCATAATTATTTTAGCCTAATTTAAAAATACATTAAAGTTATGCTAAATTGTATTTTATTTCTTTTTGATCTACGTTCTTTTATTCTTTAATTAAAAAGAATACATTATTTAGGCAAATTAAAAAAACACCATAAAGGTAAGAATAACTTTATTTTCTGGTAATACTGTTAATTTTTTTCATATATTTGTTATGGGAGCAACAGTTTATGTTATAATTAAAGTAACATTAAGATTATAATAACTTTTTTTTGCTTTTAGATGACATCTCTTGTTTTTTTGCTTTTAGATGACATCTCTTGTTTTTTTGCTTTTAGATGACATCTCTTGTTTTTTAGATGACATCTCTTGTTTTTTTGCTTTTAGATGACATCTCTTGTTTTTTTGCTTTTAGATGACATCTCTTGTTTTTTTGCTTTTAGACGACATCTCTTGTTTTTTTGCTTTTAGATGACATCTCTTGTTTTTTTTTCTTTTAGATGACATCTCTTGTTTTTTTGCTTTTAGATGACATCTCTTGTTTTTTTGCTTTTAGATGACATCTCTTGTTTTTTTGCTTTTAGATGACATCTCTTGTTTTTTTGCTTTTAGATGACATCTCTTGTTTTTTTGCTTTTAGACGACATCTCTTGTTTTTTTGCTTTTAGATGACATCTCTTGTTTTTTTTTCTTTTAGATGACATCTCTTGTTTTTTTGCTTTTAGATGACATCTCTTGTTTTTTTGCTTTTAGATGACATCTCTTGTTTTTTTGCTTTTAGATGACATCTCTTGTTTTTTTGCTTTTAGATGACATCTCTTGTTTTTTTGCTTTTAGATGACATCTCTTGTTTTTTTGCTTTTAGATGACATCTCTTGTTTTTTTTTGCTTTTAGATGACATCTCTTGTTTTTTTGCTTTTAGATGACATCTCTTGTTTTTTTGCTTTTAGATGACATCTCTTGTTTTTTTGCTTTTAGATGACATCTCTTGTTTTTTTTGCTTTTAGATGACATCTCTTGTTGATACTGGTCTCAGAAAAAAATTCTTCTTCTTTTCAAGACTTATTACACCAAAAAAGTTCAAAAATAAACCTATTTAAAGCCTTTTAAATATTTATTAAATTAATTCATAAATTTTTATAATTATTTTCAAACAGATGTTTTAAATTAGGATGTAATTATAAAATGAATAAAAGAAAAACCTTAAAATTAATTTTTTCAAGATATATAAATAAGATATATAAAGCTCAAGATATATAAAGATATATCAAAATCAAGATATATAAAGCTCAATTAATAAATAATAAAATTTATTTATAATGTCACTATGAAATACCCACCATGGAATGCAATATTTTGGATTAAGACTTTTACCATCACTCCAAATTCATGGTTAACTTTGTCACGTTAGGCTATATTAACTATTTAAGAAATCGTTTTTAAAAAAACACTGGCTTTAAAAAGAAAAAAAAAAGAGAGCCTAAAGCAGAGTATGGTTCTTACCATGTGCAAAATCTCATGTTCCAAAAAATGAGAAAAAATATTTTTCAAAACAATAAAAACAAGTTTTTGAAATTACTTTTTGCAGTAAATTCTACCAGCTTCAGTTTAAAAAAATTTTTTTTTTTAATTTACAAACAATTATATATTCAAAATTATGTTAGTTGTATAGCCAATTTAGGTATAGTTACACAAAATGGCAATGATATGATAATAATCATAAAAGAACTTATTTTATTTGCATAAAATTTTTAAAGAATCAATACTAATTTATGTAGATTAAAAGAAATAGCAAAAATAGAACTTAAAAACATAATAAAAATACGTAAATTTGGAGAGAAAAAAATTTAATAAATCAATATCTTTAAAATAGACGAATATAATTATGATATGACTAATAACTATACTAATTATATTTTTACAATTATTCAACACCAGTATCGCATATTTCAAATTGTACGATTCACTATAGGAGATATAGGATATGTGGTAGATTATTCCATCCACCCGATTTATTCCATCTCATTGTGTATTAATCACGTTTACTTTATTAATAAGAATGAAAAAAATGTAAACGTCTTTTAAATCACCATTACTTTTACAAAATAAATATGAAAACAAAAAAAACAAAAGTTGTAAAATTAGTTTCAATTTAATGTTTTACCCATTGGGATGGAATAATCTAATACTATTATAGATTATTTAATCGTCCTGATTTATTCCATCCCACTGCGTATGATAAAAATTTGTAAACGATTTTCAAATGATCGTCATCTTTATAACATAAACACGGAAGCAAAACAAAAAAAAAGTTATAAAGTTAGTTTTAATTTGATGTTTTACACATTGGGATTGAATACTGCTCAAGTAGATTACTTCATCCGCCTGATTTATTCCATCCAATTGCGTATTAATCACATTTGATTCATGGGAATAAAAAATTTGTAAGCAATTTTTAAAAGACCATTTTCTTTACTAAATGGAATAATCTATTTCTAAAGTAGATTATTCCGTCCGCTTGATTTATTCAATCCCACTGCGTAAAAAACAGAACTTTTTTCTAACTATGTTCGATCATTTCTAACGCTATAACTTAAAAACGAATTCTCGTTTAGTGGGATGGGCGGATGAAATAAATTACCACAATCCTCTTACTTTACAACTACACATAGCATAAATTAGCATAAATTACTTTTTTTTTTTTTTTTTTTCTATTCTTTATTTTTATTACAATATTTATACAAATTTAAGAAAAATAAAAAGTCTTACATTAATTTAAATTATTTACAAATAAAGATATCGTTAGAAAATAAAGATAGCATAATTTAGAAACAAAAAACTCGGAAAACTCGTTGAAAACCGTGATATCTTGTCACCGAGAAACCGCTCAAGCTGACTGAAATGATTTTGAAGACAACGAACTAAATGCACTTATTTTTTTTTTTTTGTGTATATGTGAATAAAACTTCTTTAAAGAATAATTCGTCTTTAATGATCTTTTTACTTTGAAACCTATCAATAAATACATGTTGAGAAATATTAGTTATTAAAATGAACTTTTTTGTAATACAAATTTTAATCAATTTTTTATTGCATATCTGTCTTTTCACCTTTTTAAATAAAAACAACTAATAAACCTCATTTTTTCATTAAATAATATATTAAGTTATTACTAACAGTACGATTAAATAAATATAAGTTTATTTTAATTTTTTATATACTTATAAGTAAATATATTTACATTTATATTAACTTTAATTTACTTATTTTACTTTACAAATTTATTTAAACTCGCTTATTCAAGAGGTTCTAAAGACAATATCCTTTGTGATCTTCTTTCAGTTACCTTGTATATTTGTAATATTACTGTGAAATTATATTTTTTTATTATTAGTTATTTAAAGTTGTATAACTACAAGTAAATGAAAATAATATCAGAACAAAACAACAACAACAAAGTTGCTATTTCACTTCAATTAAAAATTACTTGACATTTTCTAGCATTTTACGTAATATAATCACAAAACCTACTAAATCAAACTTATTATGTTCTCGAGCGCTAGAGGATATTGTTTCCAAAAGAAAGGAGCTGATTTTTAATTTAAATACAGAAAAATACTGGTTACTCCGACAAATTGTAAATATTTGGAGATCGGCATTTTTCAATGATTAAAACCAGGGCTGTGGAATCGGAGTCGGAGTTGCGGAGTTACTACATTTAGTCGGAGTCGCGATTTTGTTTAGCGACTCCGACTCCTATAGTAAAACTTCTCGGTATTGCACGTGCATGTACAAAACATTCAATCAACTTTATATTCATACTAAACCTCAAAGAACGTTTAATAAATTTGTCAAAAAAAACTATTTAACATATTGCGTAATACTTTTTAAAGAATTCAAAGAGTTTTTCAAAAGTGTTGCTTTAGAGTTGTAGTCGGAGTCGGAGTTGCACTCAAAAAATTTTAACAACTGGAGTCGAAGGTCGGAGTTGTACTCAAAAAATTCCAACAACTGGAGTCGGAGTCGCTACTCTTTTTTTACGACTCCACACCCTCGGATTAAAACTAATTTCTGAGAAAAACAAAGAGGAAAAGTTTAAACCTCTCGATGGCTAATATAAAAGTTTGTTCAGAATTTTTTTGATTAAAAAAGAAATTTTATTACAATAACAAAAATGGTATTTACAATATGGTAGAGCAACTGTTTGAGCAAAGGATTTTAGAAACAAGTTAGATTGACAAACTCATCCCTCCAGATACTTTTGCTGTACAAAAGGATTTGACCTTTTTATACAAAGTATTACTTGCCAAAAAGGTATTAGTTGTTTAATATACTTTTTAAAGATTTAATCAATTGAAATAACATATCTACTTATTTTTGTAATAGACTCATTTTTTTGCGAGTTTTTATTCAAATTTTATTTTTAAAAATAAATTTAGTTTTATTCAAATTTAGGTTACGCTTAGTGTTTTAACAACTTATTGTATAAAACTAACAGAAAGTTTATGCAAAATAATAAAATTTTTAAAGTAAATCGCGAGATCGAAAAAATGAGAAACGGAAACCCCTTTCAAAATAAATTACTAAGACATTAAAAAAACAATAATAATATTTCAATCAAATATTGATAGTAGTTGTCAAAAAACTTAAAAAAAAGAAATTCAAATTGTAATTTATTAAATTTAATAAAAAATCTTGCACACTCATAAAAAAAAATTCTTCATAGAACTACAAACGTGTCTCAAAAGCTACTAGAATTCCTTTATCTGCTGTTGGAAGGATTATAAAACGATATAAGAAGATTTTATCCATCGAATGAGCTGAAGGATCAGTAAAAAAAATATTATTTATAAATCAGTGGTAAAAATAAGATTCTTTTTTCTTTTAAAAGAAATCCAGATTTTAAAAGAAATCCAGATTTTAAAAGAAATCCAGATTTTAAAAGAAATCCAGATTTTAAAAGAAATCCAGATTTTAAAAGAAATCCAGAAAGAGCTAAAAAATACAAAGTTAATTTTTTGGTAAGGCGAGTGAGTGTATACAACAATTACAAATCTTTCTAAACAATTAAATGCCCAAACCGTTCTGACAAACAAAGGTCCGCTGCCAAAACCAAGTTTTGACAAAATTTCTGCTTTTTGATGGACGACGAGACTTATGGCAATGAACTACTCTTATGGCAAGCAATTTGTAGTAGTAGTTGACGTCATCAACTTTGGCATCAGAAATTTATACTTAAGAGTGCCTTTAAAAACATCATTTGACACTCATTCAATCGCACGTTGGAACTTGTTTGCTTTGGACTGACTTAGCTTTGTGCCACTACGTTTAAAACCTTTGGAATAGTATAAATTGAGAAAGGTTAATTTTGTACCAAAAAAACTCAACCCACCAAATTGCCCACAATTTCAGCCCATCAAAAAATATAGGGGTATTGGCAAAAGATATTTGCTTAAAACATGCAAGATTATTAATTCAGTACGAAAATTGCTAGAGGCATGGTCGACCATAAGCAAGAAAATGACAATAACTGTTGCGCCGAAGTAAATAAGCACCATCACCAGTAATGTATGAGTTGTTTTTTAGAAATAAACATTTTGATTTACAAAGTTCTTACGGTTTTATCACAGAGCATCACAAAAGAGCTTGAAGGAAAGTTCGCGCTTCCTTCCCTACCGATGTTATAAAACTTTCTCAGAGGTGGCGTTAAACCACGGATATCGAGCTTCTGAGGCAAGCCCGCTAACCACTGCGCTACGGTTGCCAATCAGTTTAGACCAGCATACGTCTGAGTAGAAATAAAGATAACTAAGGAAGATCTCATTCAAGCAAAAACTTCTACGAATGTTAAAGGGCATTTATTATAGCTGTTTATAGACAGTTATAATAAATGGATTTAAGAAATTAAAACAAGTTCATAATATATTATGAACTTGTTTTAATTTCTTAAATCCAAAGCGGAGCATACCGATCTCTACAATTCAAATGAACTTAAAATTGCTAAAACAATTTAAATAGAATGGAATCATGAAGTTTGAAACTTTAGAAGTTTACCACAAATAATATTTACACATAGCATCAGCTTTCAAATCCAGATCTGAACCCAGGGGCTAAGTTTTTAATTGATATAAAGCTCATTCAATTTCCTATTCATAAATTATTATAAATTTTGTAGAAGCTTCTTCTGCGGTTACTTTTATCAGGAATAGAAATTTCGCTATCTGACCAGAGTCGGTATCGAACCACGAACTTCTTGGTTCTGAGCTAGAACTCTAGCCACTGCTGCGTTTTTCGAGCAATTTGCCATTAAGAGCAATACTTTCTCCATCAATTATAAAATATTCGTTAATTATTTCATAAAATACAATTTTTGGCAGTAAATTATTTGCTCAATCCATTTAAATTCAAAACAAAAAGCAACCTTTGCAATTGGCTAAACTTAATTTTCATTTTTTTATTTCATTTACCATAATGCATTGCGAAATATATCTGTAGTGTCAATGGTGAGTTGACTGATAATTTGTAGGGGGGAAGGAGGAATCTTTGAAACAATGAATTTGCGAAGTGTTTATGAATTTAAACTTAGCATAATTAAATATGTGGTGAAAATAATATGTATGTTCATAACTGTCACTTGTCTTTCCTGAAATTTGATACAAATTGGACAATCTATATGATTTATTTATTTTTGAAGACAAATCGTAAACAACTACGTATAAAGTTGTTTTTCGTTTGAGATTTTAGCAACTAACAAGTTTTATGTTATTAATAATACAGAATAAGTCATAACATTTACAATTTTGCAAAATATATAAAGTATCGAGCTTCCCTTGTTTGGAAAAATCATTGCTGATTATTACCGTCATGTAGGGCTTGAGCTACCCGAGGTTACTTGAACCCAAAAAAATAAAATGTTTGTTTATTTGTTTATGTTTTATAAAATTATTTGGTATGAAAGTAAATAAGTTAATTATACACTTACTCAAATTAAGTAACATAAAAAATAAAAAAGGGTTAAATTTTTTTGGAAAAAGTGATCAAAAAATATTTTATTTAAAGGAAACGACAAAAATGGTAAAAATTTAGTGTAAAACTTTTGTCTGTCTAGACATAGCCAAAAAAGATAAAAATTATTTGACAGCATTTCCTAAAAGAAGTATCAGTTACTACAAAATGTAGCAATTATAATTGTCTTTTAATTTTATTATTTTGATAAAAAAGATTATTTTATGTTTGAAGTTTAAATTTGGGCTACTTTAACCCAAATGTCATTGTAGCAGCTTATGTTTGAAAATGATTAAATTCATATTTTATTAACATTTAACTCCAAAGTGAAATAATATATTTAAAAGGAGTTGATACATTTTCTATTTTAACCATGTTTTTAATATTTTTGAGGTTATAAAATGTTACCTAAATAATGTTAATGATTGGTTAAAGCTATTGTTATACATCTTTTTGCGTATACTTCATGCTATCATAACTGGTTCTACCAGTATGGTTCGCAGATTTAAAAGAAAATTAAGATCCTGAGCTTACAAAGACCATACCGTTCAAAACTTACTGTTCAAAGTCTGTATTAATATTGAACGTGGAGCTATGAGTCAACGATTTGGTGAAGAACAATTTAAATCAGCCGCTCCAGCATTAAGAGAGCGCTTCGAAGACGACGTCTTACTATCACAAAAAACATGCAGGGCATCCAGCTGTCTTCACACCTGAAGAAGAACAGTCATTTTGTGATCACTTAAATAAAGCTTCAAAGTTAGGCTACCCACTGACCTCATTTGATCTTCGAACTGTTGTGGAATCCTATCTAGATCGATTAGGGAGTGATGTTCAATGTTTCAATGAAAATATCTCAGGTGTCAAATTGGTAAAAGCTTTTATTAGAAGACATCATCAGCTATCCGAAAAAAGCTGCTAGAAACCTCAAAAGGGCAGGGTTTTTTACACAGAACCAAGCCGGTAATACTTATTATATAAAACGTATTACTATACATTACCGAATAAAGAAATATAAACAAGATTTGTTATTCAAAATCAAGCTAGGGTTCACAGTGGCAGGTCCAGAATTTTTTCGTTATAGAGTTAACTTCCAGACGTAGAGCAAACTCTAAACATTTATATATTTATACTTATATCTAACAAGGATGGTTTGTGAATAATTGCGGTAATTCTAGCCTAGAAACAAAAATTTTTCCCCCCTTCCTGACCCAGAGCTGGTGAAGTTTAAAGGCGAGTTTCCACTCATCCGTTTTTTAACGGGAACGGAAAAAATAATCACGCGAGCATGCGTAATAAAAGTTTTTATTTGTCCGAAAGAAAACTGCGCATGCTCACGTGATTCTTTTTCCGTTCCCGGGTTTAATAAAAACAAATCATTTTCTTCAGGCTAGACGGAGGAATACCTGGAATTCGGAGATGTATATTTTTGAGAAATTTGAAAGAAACATTTCTTCTGTGATACCATCATAGGCATAACCAGTGTACAATTTTAATTCCTTTTATGAAATACTTTTAAATAAAATTTATGAAACCCGTTTTATGAAATACTTTTGATAAAATAAAATTTTAGGCAAAAATAAAATAGCTTTTAAGTTCGACAGTTTTAAAACAAATAACTATTTAAATTATCTGATATAACTTTGTTGACATGATTTTGTCGTCGTTGTTGAAAATTTACACTTATTATGACTATGACGGCAGTATTTAATGCAAAACAAGAATTTAAAAACACAACATTATTTGAAAATCTCATGCATACAAACGTCTAGTCAATTTTATCAAACAAATGACTCATATCCGATGCGGAGTACTTTTAATCCATTTGTTTTCATACGACATGTAACGGGTGCTGCATGAAATATTCTTCATATGATGTATGTTAACCTACATAAATATTTAGAAAACATTAAAAAACTTACATGAGTATTATTAATGACAACTTAAAAATAAATTTTTAAAATTGCGATTGTATTGAACACAAAACACTAACTTCTATAAGTGATCACTGAAGAGCACTTTGAATAGAATTTTCAATCTTAGACATCTTTGCTGCAGTATCAACATATCCATCGCCATTCTGAAAGTGGAAAAAAAACTTTAAATATGTTGTTTAATTACATTATTGCATAAAAAAATGTTTTTATTACAAAAATTTTAAATAATTTCTATTAAGTAGTTATTATTGACAAACAAAGTATATTTAAGACTGAAGCAGATCCCATCCTAAGAGTTACATTAGCAAGTGCTTTAATACTTCGAAAAATATTAAACAGATAGTAATTATCTTTAACCAAGAACGAAATTCAAATAAATAGAATTATTAAATAGCATCTATATTTATAGTTGTTTATATTTATAATTATAAAGAAGATAATAAACTCCTTTGAGCAGCTACAATGACAGTATTTGTGGAAGAAGAAAAAGAGATGCAACCTTATGACGATGGAAGAGAGACTCAAGCACGGCAGATAAAACAAGTCTAATTAGGTTTACAATATGTTTTGTCTAAAAGAGAAAGAGCATCATTAAAAAACCAGCCTAAATATGACAACAGTATTCCATACTGGGACGAATGAGATTTTTAGAGGTAGAGAATAGAATCAGGAGTAAGAAAATGGTGAGTACAATAAAGAGAAGCAACTTAAGCAGATGCTAATTTAGCAATCAATTGTATATATGGAGAGGCAAGTAGCAAACAATAATCCAAGAAAACGTTGCGCAATAAAAAGGAACTCTTCATTCTGTAATTGAATATCTAAAATGAATTACAACCCTAAGGAGGTTAAAGGAAAAATAACTTATTTTTTCAATATTCTAAACATTTGTTTGAGCGGGGTGTTATTAAATTTAGTAGGGAACAATTAAACAAACTCCTAATCTACATAATGTTAGTACCTATGTTAGTACTATTACTTTAACTTTATATTATAATAAATTTTTGTTTTCAGTAATTTAATATTAGATTAACTTCTGGCTTAATTTAGTTGCTAGATGAAACATTATATACTCTTAAAATAAGTGGTTACAAATAGATAAATTATGAGTGTTTAGTAAATAAATGTTTACAAAACCTATTTATTTGTAATTTTATCAAAAAAAGATAAATTTGTGAAACTCATGATGCATGTATTTGAAATAAGGATTTGGTTGAAAATTTCATTTAATAAGATTTATCACTTGATCTTAAGGAGTATTCAATAAGAAATAGATCTCGCTCAGTTTTATGTCAAAACAAACATCAAAAGCAGCTCATAAATATGAATCAAAACCAAATTTTTTTTTTTGCATCATGAATAATAAAATATTTTGTGAACATTTAAGCATTACAAATTTTTTAGTTATTTTAATATTCTTAAATGAAATAGTATTGGTACAAGTAGATTACTGCTTTTTACACATAAAGTTCAATGCAAAGCACTGAACTTTATGTGTAGTTTTTTCTTTTATGTGTAGTTTTTTGTTTTTTATGTGTAGTTTTTTATTCTTAGTGGGACCTGAAACTATATTAAAAATAATTCAAAACATTTTGAAAAAAAATATTTATTCTAGCAATTAGCAGTGTACCCCTGCTCCTGGAAGTTAAGTTTCTAGAAAGTTATGTTCCTAGAATTTCATTCAGCAAAATAAGATTGCATAAAAATTGTTATTGTGAAAAGTGTTATTATGTTAATAGAAAGATATATTCCTATATGTTCATTAAGAAAAATAAGATTGCATAAAAATTAGCAGTGTACCTATGTTACTAGAAAGTTATGTTCCTAGAAGTTCATTAAGAAAAATCATTTGAAGTTTTATGTATGCAATTAGAATGACAGTAACTCAAAAGGAGATTCATTAAGTCTCTAGCATTTCAATACTATTTTTCCTTAAAAAATGTAGGTATGAAAGGCATTGTGACTTGCATTTATCTAAAAATGATAATTAAAAATTTTTTAATTGAATAGGAAAGTGGTTATACAGAATACCCTTATTTTTTGCAAATGGAACAGCAGAGCTTGGGTCAAAACTAAGGACTAAACAGAATTTTTCAAGAAAATTTTTACTTCAATGATAAACAGTATAGTCAACAAATTGTTTATAATACCATAAAACCAAAATGTGATAAAAAAGTTCACCTTTTTTGAATGTATTAAAACACCATTAACTTCCACTTCAAAATAACCAGTTCTATTTGGTGTTGCAAAATATTCCTAAAAAAACAACAACTAATTGAGGTAAAAAAAACAACAGATTAAATTAAAAAAAATTATTTAAGAAGTCATTTTAATCTCACTTTCTCTGACCTGTATTTTGATTAGATTCTGAATATTTTAAGTAACTTTTAAAACAATATTATTGGTTGATGACTTTATTGATGATTTTGATTTTCATAACGAATGTTTTATTTAAAGAATTTTCACTAAAAATTAGTGTTAAATTATTTTTATTTTATTATTCTGTTTCCTAACAGAGCCGACAACCCCGAATTTTCAATGTATTGATGCTAATTTTTTGACTAGGTTGAGTTCTTTAAATACCAGCAAAAAAGAAAATGTTAATTACATCTTGAGTTGTTCATTTAAAGTTTATGATATCTATATATTTTGGGTTAAATTAATATTTTATTACTATTAACATCAAGTCATTTATCATCCTTTGAAGGCTTGTTTTTTCTAAATTCATTCATCTTCAAAATTATCTTTATGGAGAGATATTGTAAAAGCTTTTGTGGTTTTATATGGTACTGTGAGCACAAATTGCAATATTTGGAAATATTTCTGGCACTCAAATTCTTAGTTAATTAAAAACCGTAAACACTGTTTTAATAAAATGATCAATTAATCATATTGAAAAAATGAGACAACAAAACAATAAATTTACTATTGTAAGTCAAAACTTACATGTTTTAAATTATAAAAACACCAGGTATTTTAAGCATTATAAATTAAAAAAAAAAAAGTTGTAAGAAAAAAAAAAAAAAATTACTAAAGGTCCGAAAAATTTGCACAGTAATTTAAAAATAAAACAATGAAAAATTATACTAAAGATATTTCTCCATTGCACAGTGGGTCAGATATTAGACAAAATTATTTTGATCTTCTTTTTTATTTTTTCATCAAAACCCTTTATATGTCCAAGGAATCACTTTGTATTAAGATATATTTATTTTTATTATAAATTTTAGTTAAATAGTTGCTAGTTCTAAAAATTATTTAAACAAACTTTATAAAACTTTAAAAACACGAATTTGCAATTTTTTAATTTCAAATGCTATAACTTTTTAAAATCGTTGAAGTCATCAACAAACTCTCCTGGTGGAATAAACTTAATAAAAAAAATTGATGCAACTTTAAAAATAAAAATTAATATTAAAATATTTTTATTATTATAAAGTCTATTGAGTTCTAGAGATACTATACAAATAATCAACAGGCACTATTCATTCATCACTATTTTTATTTTAACTTACTTGTTTGTAAACACTATATCATGTAGCACCATAAAAACCAGCTTTGCATCTAAATGTCAGTTTAGTTAATTCCATAGTATTGTGATTTGCAAAGTAGTTTGCATACCACATAACTTTTAAAGTCTTAATACTAATAATTGCATGCCACATGGCTTTAAAAGTCTAAAACATATTCTTAATAAGAGTGTGTTTTATAAGATCTTTTATTGGTATTTGTACTGAAATATCTATTTGAATATTCTTGGGACAGCATTTAGCTTTTGAAGATCCTATACCATTATACAAAAGATATACGTGGCAGCCTTTTTTTCAGCACCATTTCTTAGAAGCTAGTATGTTGATTTTGATAAATCACCATTAAAAATGAATGCTAAAGCTTTATCAGATGAATATATCTAAGAAGGTTTAATGGGGTTTTTATTTTAAGTAACAGAAATTTTACCAATTTTTATATTATTACTAAACAAAAAAAAAAAAAAAGGGTTAGGTAAACAGTGCAATTTGTATTGAATTAAATAACAAACAAAATAACATGTATTTTTGTTTACAAAAAATAAAAGTTGATTTCAAGCAAATAACATAAGTTACAAATCAATATTTTAAAATGTTAAAGAAACCCAAAAGGGGAAGCTAGGTATGTATGCAATGAATATAGTTCAAATTACATTGTACTGTGTGCTTTATTTTGTAGTTTTATCTGATGATTTATCAAATAATTAAAATACTTTTTAATCATAATTTTTAATTAAAGAGTTTAAATTATAATTTTTAATAATAATAAAAATACTAATAATAAAAAAAAAAATGTAACAATATAGTTTTATGAGATTTTATCATAATTTCAAGATTAAAGTAATTATTTTTTATTGAATTACAACTATTGAGTTAAGTGATAAAAACAAAGCATACAGTATTAAAAAACTAAAAATTTAAAGTCCAGATATCGCAATTCACAATTACTTAATTTGTGCCTTAAACAAAGTAGCTGTTTTGAATGTCTCCATAAAAAGAAGTATTTTAAAAATATATATTTTTTCTTAATGTTTTTAAAACAATTTAATAAAGGAGAAATAATTTTTTTCTTTTTATCTGATAACATATTTTTTCTATTTACTTGTTATGCAATGAATTATATTACGTAAAATATAAGTCTTTCCATTATAAATTAAAATTTGTGAAAGCAACTGAAATTTGATTTTGAGAAACTTGTCAAGTTTCTCAGATTAAAAAGTTTCAAAAATTCTTCATTGAATTTACAGATTATAGCACCACTCCATAATCCAGAAACAACATTTGGAAACTGGTTTATTAATTATTTTGAAATATCTAGTTTTATTACACTAAATTACCTTTTCTATAATAATCAAATCTATTTAAATCAGGTTTTCTACAATATTTAGACAATACCATACTTTATTCAATCTCTTTAATATCTAGATATACCATTATGTACAGCACCTGTCACATATGAATCTACCAGTCTACCAGTACCAAAATCACCACAAAAGTACTTCTCATCCTACTCTCCAAAAGTCTTGCAATTAAATTCACTAAACATGAAGTATTTACTATACATTTATTTTTGAATGAAGTTTAAATAGAGCGCTACTGTTATTTATGTCTATGTTAAAGTTGCTAGATGTTGTTGTTTTTTGCAGAGGAAAACACAAAGAATATTTTCAAGAGTAAGCTAAAAATAGTAGCAAAACAGTCGTACCA